AGAGAGAGAGAGAGAGAGAGAGAGAGAGAGAGAGAGAGATTAAAAAAAAAACTATTATTTCTGACAATATACTTTCACCAAAATCACTCATCCAGGCCAATGTTTACCAGTACGACAGGTAGCTGTCTGCTCAACACAATTAACACCAGAACAAACTTTCCTACAATACCACAGTGCCAGGTCGATACCTTAACAATCCGTTCACATATCTTCGAGGTCCCCTGCGTGTATCCAGGAATCTTTACAAAGGAAACAACTATAGTGCATTTGCTGAAGCAATCAATCAGTCGCGAGTCTCCAAGCTATCCAAATCGTAGACGAGGCTTTGTTGCGTGGAAAATCTCGGTATAAATGCAACACTGACTGGAACAAAAAAGTCTAATAAACCCGGTTAATTAATGCATGAATGCAAATAAAGGTGAGGTGAATGTGAGTGTGATTTTTCGAATGTTTTGAATATGGGAGTGATTTTAACTGGTAGGATTTCGTTGAGAGAATCCCGAAGCCACTGGCAGAACCTGGATCTCCTAAAAATAAATAAATAAATAAATAAATAAATAAATAAATAAATAAAATGAAATTTAAAAAATAATAATAATAATAAGAATTATAAATAAATAAATAAATAAATAAATAAATAAATAAATAAATAACAATGATAAAATAAAAAAAGGATAATCCTTCATTCATTCTCAGAAGATACGTATAGACACCACATAACACCTGGGAAGGAGATTACTCTTTTGAGTATCTCCCCTTCCTCACCTTCCAACTACACCCTCCCCACCCCACCTCCCCACCCCAATCTCCCCACCACCCAACCCTCCCCACACAAGAGCCACCAGAGATACAGAGTGATAAGTGATGAACAAGTTCATAAAAAATGTCCGAGCACGGGTGGAGTGAACAAGTGATTTAAACTACACAAAATTATATTTGGATTTTATGCAAACGTTTGTATCGTTCCAGTTCTTCCTAATTTCCAACCAATCTGGATCACGATAGTGGATTCTGGTACTTGTACCTATACCTATAATACAGTATATCTTGTTTAATTTTTCTTCCAAACAAGTGTACAGTTCACTTCAAAGCTTAAGGTAGGCTGGAATCTGTGTTAAACAGTTCTTTTCAATATTCCTATTGGAAATTATATAACAGGCGCACTGAAGGATGAAATGTAATTTTTTTATATCTCACGCGATTTTGTAATCTCAAGCAATGACGGGAACGCAGCAGTACCTAAAACTAAAGTGAATGAGTGTGCCTACCTTAGCGTGTGCAGGTGTGTGTGTGTGTGTGTGTGTGTGTGTGTGCGCGCGCGCGCGCGTCCATGTGTGAGGGTATGCAGTGCTTGTGTACGTACGTGTCCTATGCATATGTCCAGAAACATATGGCTCCACTCTCATTTTACCCATTATTAAGTATTATTCCAATGGGAAATGGCATGTTTACTTTAAGAATTCTAGTAAACCACGTGCCTTGCAAAAATAAATTATTTAAGGCGTCCTCATCTCTTATCACAATACATGCAGCTTAAAGACAATTAATCCCTCAAAATGGAAATTGGCACATGGATTTCACCTATTGCATTTAACCAGGCACCTTACAAACGGCTGCTTTTGTCACCCTCGTCTTTTGTCAGATCAGCTCAAAAACCCAACAATCTCTCCAATACAAAACACTATCAATCGATTGCTTTGGCAGAATTCTCGATGTAAAAAAGACCTTTATTCATCCCGGAAGTTTAATTTATTTATGTGAACCAAATTGCTCCTTGCTCCTATTCTTATCTTCTGTAATTTCATTTATTGAATAAGCTTTTTATCAGAGTTGATGTGGATCGGATAGTCAAACAAACCTTGTCTTTGTGTTTTATAGAACAAAGTTCCAGGGGGGGGGGGGGGGGTAACAAAAAATTTAAAAAAATGACAAATGTTATCCTCTATACCACAAAGAGGGACTCCCGGCAAATCGTGGCGACCTAGCACCGTTTGTCCACAGTTTATCATTAATGATGATGCAAAATAACAAAACCGTTTATAAAGCCGCCTAGGCTTCACTTTGGCGGATATCTGTTGCCGTCTATGTTTTTATTTATAAATAAACAATCACATCCCTGGCATAGGGGGTACATGTGCACATTGGAACATTGTGTCCGACATAAAGACTCTATCCAAACCTGTCATGCATAACGTTTACGTAACTGATTATAATATTACATGAATAAATTAAGGTTAATTGTGACGCGAACGTGACTTTGCTGCTAAATAACTCAATGAAAGGTAATTCGGTCTAATTTAAAGGCATCAACATATTAGAGGTTTGCAGTCACAGGTGCATGTACAAGTCATAAATCCTGTAGATTTGGATGCATGGGCAGCGAGCTTATATTTGAACGCTATTGAATACTGCTTTCTCGCTTTGTCTGTGAAGAAAAAGCCGATAGACAAAATTCTAAGAGAACAGACCTCCACCAAGGAAGAAAAAATCTAAAACGTTAGGACACTCGGATCAGTTGACATTGTAATAACTTTTTTCTCTCTCGAATTACTGTCTATCCTGAATATCTGACCAAAATTTGTGGGAACCTATTGAGATAGGTCGTTTGCTAACTTATGCGGGGGGGGGGGGGGGGGGGGGGAACCAACACCAATGAAAAAACAGCAGACCAAGGAAACAAGAAAAAAAGAACTTCGTTTCACAATATTTTTTTCTTTGATTCCTAGTATTAATGCACAAAAATTTCATTTTGAAACAAGAATTTATTGTAAATATTGTATTATATTTTTTATAATGTATTATGTAAAATATTTTTCAATCCACCATTCCTTGCCTTGAATAGTCGAAGCAATTGCAGATCTCTCACCAGAGAAGTTCTTAAAATGATACAAAATTATGATATTTTAAGTTCAAATTTCATATTTTAAATTGAAACTTGGGCACTATCAGATAGAACACTATTTTCCACAAGGCAAGTCACATGCACTTCGACAGTATTTACTAGTACTAGTGCATAATCAAAGTCATCTAGTCAAAAAAAGAATCCAGACTTCCCCATGTATTCCACACCAATCGTCAGTTTTAACTGTAACTTTTACTTTATCCACACTCCTTCAGAGTCTTTGTGAAGTGGTTTTACCTTTAAGGGAGCATTCAGATGTATGTACTGTTTACATGTTTTATTTTTGCAAACATCATCAGAAACAGTACATTTAGAAATAATTAAAGTGATAATAACTCTTCGTTTCGGCCAAAAAATGAATTTTCCTGGAGTAAACAACAATTTTCCCATACTTACCAATGGTTAATTAATCCATTTTTACATTCAAAGTTAGTCCCTGTTTTTTTTCTAAAAAGTTTGGTTTTTTGTTAAAATCTCTTAAGAGATTTTAACATAGTATAGCCATCAATGGAGGTCACGTGGTCTAAAGACAAGCTCAGATATCAGAATAATAGCTATAACAGCCGTTTTTGTGGGAAAACAGAATATATTATATTTTTATGAGTCATTCACAATGTTTTTATTGTGAAATGCAGATTTCATACGAAGAGTTATTATCCCTTTAAGACTGGCGTGTCAGTTATTCTGATGGATGTGTGTGTCACGGAAAAACAATAAGATAACAGCCATGACAAATCTTTCAAGCTCTTCACTGAAGTAAAGTCACCGCTAATCTTCCTGCTAGTATCATTTGAATCTGGCTTTCCTTTTTGTTGTCTTTGCACGCTGAGCCTTAACTGGAAAGTTAAAAAAATGGGCAATGAAGAATATTTTCACTAATTGTAACACTTGTAAAGCAATGAAATATCTAAAGAACAACACCTTTGAAAATAATGCCATGCTAAAATAAGGCTATCACAAATCACTGTCAAGAATACGTCCATTCTAAAATGTTTCACTCTGGCTTGAGAATCACAAAGTATTTGAGTATTGTTTTGGCAATGTATCAAACATACTCAAACCAATAAATATTGTATTGATTTAAACAGAATAAATGCTTTATATGTCAGCCTACTCAGGTAAATTAAGTACGTTAAAGCCATATCCAGGCCAGCAAGTGAACAGAGACAATCTCATAACAACTGAAAGTCAGTCCAGTAATGGTCTTACTCATGTAAGATTGTGATCTGAAATTGCAATTTAAAACCAAAACAGTATCCGTTTAGTACCTGATTCCCTGTGTATTCTGCCTCCGTACAGGAGTGCCTGCTTGAACTCTGCGGCTGTCTGGGTTTTGTTACTGAGCGACTTCAGATCATGCTTTAACGACAACACTTCAAAGTTGGCACTGGCAGAAAAAATTAAGACAACACTTTAAGGACAACACTTCAAAGTTGGCATCGAAAGGAAAAAATTGACAACTAACTGTCTGTTAAATAATTACTGATTCTTTGTATTACTTTAACCAAATGGGATTTTACTGTGATACGAAAACTAAGATGTGGTGAGAGAACTGAATGCAAGCTCACTGCACAGTGATAAGTGTGGCTTGTTTAAAACAAAGTTCACTCATTGCTCCAGGTGTAGCCTGCTGAAAGCAAACCTACTGTTCTGGGTGTAGCCTGCTCAATATAACTAAGAATAGCCTGCTAAACACAAACTCATTGTGCAAACTGATGCTTTGAAATGTACCTTCACCTTNTGGTGAGAGAACTGAATGCAAGCTCACTGCACAGTGATAAGTGTGGCTTGCTTAAAACAAAGTTCACTCATTGCTCCAGGTGTAGCCTGCTGAAAGCAAACCCACTGTTCTGGGTGTAGCCTGCTCAATATAACTAAGAATAGCCTGCTAAACACAAACTCATTGTGCAAGCTGATACTCACCGTGCTACATGAAAGTATTTTGTGCTAAGGGTAACAACTGACAATACTCATTGTGTTAGGTGAGACATTGTCTTGAGTCTGATATGGGTAACAGATATGTTTAATATTGCCAAACTTTTACCTGCTGGAATTGAGAGGGACGTAACCCTGCTCCTCAACTTCATCATCTTTTTCTTCCCCTGTAAAAATATTACAGCAAAAGTTCAATTTTCCCAATCTTTCCCTCATTGAACATTGTTAATGATAACTATGAAATTTTCAGACAGTTTTTTTATGCATCTCCTAAAGCATTGGTAAAAATGTCTTTCATTTAAATAACCTTTGTCTTGATTTTTTTCCTCAATGTATATAAGTTACCTTGCCGATGTCTTTTTTTACCTGACAGTCGTTCTTTCTCCTCTACCTCTTGACCTTCTGTCATTCCGTCTTTCCTCCTTTTTATCACAGGTCCTTTTGACAAACTTTGTAGCAGGTTATCTGGAAGTCGCTTTTGGGACAAGGCATCCAGCTTCTGTTTCTGCAAATGATACAAATGAAAATAGTATAACTGTCAATCGGGACTCTCTGAAGTCACAGAGTTTAGTTTCTAAATATGGTAATTAACTTAAAAAGAAAATTATATAATGTGTACACCCATAAGGTGTTTCTGAATTTGAGAGTAATCAATGTGGCTGGTGAGGACCAGTAAAATATGTACTGTGTTAGGAAAATTTATTTTTATTGTTTGGCTGGTCTTTATTCTTGGCATCAAAACCTTGTCTACAATTCACAGAGCAGTCAATATGTGCATTCACTTTACACTTCACAAATTTATTTTTCAAGCATTGTATGTGTATTGATTCCGCTATTCATAAAGGATGCTCAATCTATCTGGCAGAACAACAGACTTTAGAACAGGAAGAAAACAGACCGGTTACAGACAACTCAATTACCTTCTGAAGCATATGCATTTCCTGTTGCTTTCTTCTCTTTTCTTTTAATTTCACCCTCTCTCCTTCCATCTGTTTCAAGGTATCCTTGACTTTGGTGAGAGCTGCAGTTCTCCCTGCGCTGAACGAGATGTCCTCAGGTTCCGCGTCTGAGTCACTCTCAACCAGTAAATCTTCATCTTCACTTCTTACTGAGAAAAGTCACATATCAGAAAAAAAGAGTTTATAAGCAAGTTATTTATAAGTTGTAAGTGCACCTCTGATCTGCTGAGTGCCTTGAAAAACACAGACACATTTGGTACATTTGGCCAATTTTTATAAAGTGTCAAAATAATTGCGCTCAGATTTGTAGCTATCTATGTATTAAATTCCATGTGTAGGTTAATGACGTAAAATGACATAAAGGTTAATAAATATCAGCAATATATGCAGTATGATGGGCATTTACGATAACTGATCAGCCCCCGATTGTACCTGTGTAACTTGTAAGCAACCCGTAAGTCGAAACAATATTAAACGTTTACCTTCTTCTTTCTCGCTTTCCAGATCACTTCTCTCTTCTTCAGCATCACTGTCTTCGTCGGAATCGAACTTTTTGTGTTTAGGCATTTTTGTTTGTGAATAATTGCACTTTTATTTATCCAAATCCTAGACACATGCTAAATAACGTGGTGTCGATAATGTGTGATATCTTACATCGATATAACACAAATAGCTTTATCAAGACAATCCACGTCCGAGTACTCCAAAGTGTTGCGGAGTTGAAAGGTAGCACCCAGCAGTGCAGCACTGGTTGTCGGAAGCGGGTAAAAACTCGAGTGTCCTCTGGGGATTTATTTTGTATTATTAAATTGTTACATTCAGTTAAAGCAGTACAAGTAATTTATATGTAAAGGCAATTTATATGTATTAAAATATAAAAGCACGTAGCCTCCCATTTTGAAAACTATCATTTTTGTAGAAATAAATGATTGTCACATTTGTGTTCAGCATCAAAATTCACCTCAATAAAATTTTTGAGAGAAATTTTAAGATCTACCCTATCCTAGTTACAGCACTCTCATGGAAATCTTAGTGAATTAAGTCGGTGCTCCGATTAAAGGCTTATTTGTGAAACCGGGGCCTGGAATCATACCGCATGGGGATATACAGACTTGACATTTAATATGGAATATTTCAGTTTCGAAGGTATACCAAGGTAAAAATACGTTCTTTTTTTTTTTTAAAACTCCGATCTCAAANTTTTATAAAGTGTCAAAATAATTGCACTCAGATTTGTAGCTATCTATGTATTAAATTCCATGTGTAGGTAAATAACGTAAAATGACATAAAGGTTAATAAATATCAGCAATATATGCAGTATGATGGGCATTTACGATAACTGATCAGCCCCCGATTGTACCTGTGTAACTAGTAAGCAACCCGTAAGTCGAAACAATATTAAACGTTTACCTTCTTCTTTCTCGCTTTCCAGATCACTTCTCTCTTCTTCAGCATCACTGTCTTCGTCGGAATCGAACTTTTTGTGTTTAGGCATTTTTGTTTGTGAATAATTGCACTTTTATTTATCCAAATCCTAGACACATGCTAAATAACGTGGTGTCGATAATGGGTGATATCTTACATCGATATAACACAAATAGCTTTATCAAGACAATCCACGTCCGAGTACTCCAAAGTGTTGCGGAGTTGAAAGGTAGCACCCAGCAGTGCAGCACTGGTTGTCGGAAGCGGGTAAAAACTCGAGTGTCCTCTGGGGATTTATTTTGTATTATTAAATTGTTACATTCAGTTAAAGCAGTACAAGTAATTTATATGTAAATTACTTGTACTGCTTTAACTGTACAAGTACAAGTAATTTATATGTAAAGGCAATTTATATGTATTAAAATATAAAAGCACGTAGCCTCCCATTTTGAAAACTATCATTTTTGTAAAAATAAATGATTGTCACATTTGTGTTCAGCATCAAAATTCACCTCAATAAAATTTTTGAGAGAAATTTAAAGATCTACCCTATCCTAGTTACAGCACTCTCATGGAAATCTTAGTGAATTAAGTCGGAGCTCCGATTAAAGGCTTATTTGTGAAACCGGGGCCTGGAATCATACCGCATGGGGATATACAGACTTGACATTTAATATGGAATATTTCAGTTTAGAAGGTATACCAAGGTAAAAATACGTTCTTTTTTTAAAAAAAATCCGATCTCAAANACTGGTTTTAGCAGGTAAGAACACCAAATGACCTCCGAGGTACCCACTGTATACAGCAAAACATCGTCGTCTGTTTCTCTAATGAATTGGGGGCCATGAACGATTCTGGGTAGAACAATGAAACTGCGTGGCTTTCTTTATTGAGGTCAGATTTCACCTGTACCGCCCAATTAGTCAAAACAGAGTTTTCAGATATCCAGAAGAGGCCTACGACGAAGCATATGCCGGGTCTAAAGTGACAAGGGTGACTGACAGCGCCAGTATTTGGAGTAGATTCCACATTGGTGCCAAAACACCAATGGTAGTCATCGACGAAAACCTGAACCAGATCAAATAAAGGAATAATCTCGGAACCACTGGTCTATCATTTGATAGGGGGCAGCTTAGGAACAATTCTAGGTTGCACGATGAGGTTGCAGGTTCACACAGAGCACTTTTAATAGCAGATAACTTACAGAACCAAGGGAATGAGCAGCTACCCTGGTCATCAAAATCGCCACATTTGAACCACATACACAATGTTTCGGTAGACCATTACTCACCAATCAACTGCCTACATGTCCTACAACAAAACTGGACCAGATTGGACAATTTTAGACCGTTGCCTGGAATGCTATTCCAGATTGAACTCTAAAAACCTACCCCCAAGAAATGCCTTGCCGCTTGAGAGCGCTGGCAACAGCCACGTAGAGGCCAGGCGTTACAACGACCATTACTGTGACTAGCAACTGACATAAGGGTCTTTTGTGGAGCGTATTACCCTTTTACAGACGATAATTTGTAAAATATGGAGATCCAAAATATCTCTTTTAATGGTTGTCGTATGACATAGACTAAGCAATGTGTTTTTGTTTGCTTCTCTGGCGAATTCCATTAATAAACTGATGTCACAATGACATCAAAGAGATAATTTAAAGTTATTAAAACACGATTTTAATCCTTATTTTCATTTATCAGTCAGAAAAATAGGAAAAAACTGATAAAAAATTATTTTGAAAAAAACATTCCGTATTAAATGTCAAGTCTGTACATGTACAAGTAACTATAACTCATCACATAACATATTGCCCTTCCATATAGAAAGGGCGACAAAAATTTCTTACTTCAAAATTCGATAGGCGGCATGCTAGCTTTAAATTATTTGAATGCATGTATCATTTCCAAAACAACGCTCTTATAAATATGCATAAAATAAGATAGGCCCTATGTATTAGGGACAAATATTGTGTTGACAATCAATTTTGCTCAAAGCCATTACGAACTAGAAAAACACTTTTATTAAGGAATTTTGATTATTGATTTATTTATAAAAACTTGTTCTGATGTCACTAAAAAGTGTTTTTGTACTATGACTTATTACGTTATATTTGGTTACCGTTCACAACATACATGTATATGTTGAGTCTACTATGAAAAAAAAAAAAAAAAAAAGAAAGTAAAAGTACTATAGAAGTTAGAAATCATGTAGGATGGAGATTCTTATTTAAAACCAAATTTGAGATTTATGTGAAGACATATACAGATGATACATCATTAATTTTTTGTACATTTGCCTGATGTTTATTACTTAAAAATAATTATTAGTCGCCATTAGGTAATTCGCGCGTTACAATTAATCCACTATATCGGCAAGAACAATTTATTTATTTATTTATTTATTTATTTATTTATTTATTTACAAACCCCGTGGACAACAAAAGACAAGCACATTGTAACGGTACGTTATTGAATCTACGTCATGACGTAAGTAGCGTTAAACGTCACAGATAAAACTGTCCAATCAGCAAAGACCGCACTACAACGTAGCAATTCGGTCGATTAGACACGACAGTCGCATAGATTGAAACTTATTTCTGATAATTGTTTTTCGTACAATCATTATTTTCATTTGAAGAAAGGACAATGCCAAGACGCTCGCGCAATGCAAATGTAAGCATTTGTTAAATGCATTTTTATCCGGGTATCTAAAAATAGTTGATCAAATTACGATGCTATTTTTATGAGTTTGGGGTACACTTCTTGCATTTGCAAGAAATGATTTAAGATAAGCTAAATGAAGTGTTGAAAATTGATGTCATTAAAAAAGCAATACAATAAATGAGGATGCATCTACTTATCAGTACGGGATTCCCCTAAATATTTTTTTTCTAAATACAGGGTCGTGTACCTCCCTGGAGGGACATGAATCGGTCTGTGTTAAGTCGGTGGTGGGCGTGGCTCAATGCCATTCATGTGACCTGGCTGCTCTGTAGAGGTGAAGACAGCGTCCAGGTGGAAGACCAGAGAGGTATGGAAATTTTTTTAATAGATATCGTGGCAAACAATACCATTATCTTGCTAACAATGATCTACATGTATTTCTGTATTCGAGCAATCAAGGTGAAAATTAATGTTACATCAACCGTTACATGCACAGAGGAGGGGTTGCAATATGTTTTATTACGCCAGGTGAAATCTTCAGCCAATCTTAACGTCCGTTATACATTGATCTCATCGTTATACATTGATTTCATTGAAATTCCCAGGAAATGCTGAGGAAAGCAGGGAAATTGATTCGTCCAATGCAGAGACGATCGCCACAGTGCCAAATGGTGTGGATTGTATTGTGCGTGCAGCCACCAACAATCAAAACAATGGTATGGGAAGCATTTGCAAATGTTTGTTTGTTGGACTTATGTATATTGTATTTTTATAGTATATTCAAATAAATCAATTGTGATTTGTCGGTGTTAATAACTCTGAAGTTTGAGCATATTTATAACCACTATTGAATTAATACATCTGTACCAAGTACAGACATTTACGGAAATGCTTCAAAAAAAAAAAAAAAAAAATATATATATATATAAATAGATAAATAAAAATAATAAAATAAAGTTAACAGTTTTATTTTACATCACTTTTAGCATCATACGATGTCTCCCCTGTAGCAAGGGTGTCGCCTTGGAAAAGATTCAAAAAGGGTGTGACTCGGATTTTCTCGCTGAAGAGAAGACGATCCAAGTATAGGGTAGATACAGCTCCAGCACCACCGACGCCACGTGAAGGTACACGTCGTATAAATTGCAGTTTTAAAATCTTAAAATCTAAGTGCTATGCTCAGCTCGTACCATGAGTGACGTGAAGATTGTTAGCGCATACTACATTGGTAACACAGCAGTTAATTCTATTTATTCATGATTTTTTATTAACATGTTAATTTTGTAGAGATGATATGTGCCTCATCGTAAAAAAAAATCCTTTTTTGTCGCCCATACATCAAACAGCATGAGGTTTGCCAGTAAACTAAAGACAGGCGCCGATTTTACGTCTACTGTATCACACATACTGTATTATCATTTTCCTAATATTTTAACCTATTATAATGATTTTGTTCTATAAATATTTTTGTAGAATCTCAGGTGGTAACGTTCACAGACATTGTACAGTTTACACTGAAAGAAGAAGACGGGACGCGTATAGAGAATCTAGAGGCGGAGATTTGTGGTACTGGGTTTAGTTTTCTCCAGTTTTAAAAACGGTCTTTCATGTAATAGGTTCTCGATAAATTCGGTTATGAATACTAGCGAATAGCAAATGTATGTTTTTTTAAATCACCATAAAATATTGAGCATTTAGTTTAAAAAAATTATGCAGTATATCAATGTAAAATTAGGAACAAATACGCTATAATAAAATATTATATTATTTTTCACAGATCATAATGAGATCCATTTGGAAGACCTGACCAGTAGCAGCCCGGAGCGCGTCCTCAAATTCTCACATCCATCTGGACTCACGTGTGGAGTGGGTCTCTAAATCTACCGTGCTAAACTGACTTACATGTACAATTCATCTGCACGCAGACTTTGCCTTAGTATAAATACATGTACATAGACAGGTGCTGCAGATATCATAAATACTGTTTGGATTACATCATACATGATGTTTGATACACCACCAAGTCAATTATATTTGAATCTTTTTTACCAGGCATGTCTTTTATCGAGGACATTGAGAAAAACTGTACCTAGTTTTTATATATACTGACGCAGCATTTGTTGAGAACGACAGTTGTCTTTGGCCTCAGTGCGATTGGTGTTGCGTTGATGTCACATTCGCTACATGTATCTCGCAAAGCCGATAGCTGCCGTTCTAAATGTATTATAGTATTAAAATGCTTGTATATATAAACGTTTTTGTAGAAAACAACAAATTTAAAATGTTATATACTTCCGTGTTTGTTTGTATAGACAAATTATTTTCTCGCAGACAGCCAGTGGCTCTAGAGGCTATATAAAGAACAAAATGATTTATTTTGCTCAATATTTATGAGTGTAAACTGTTAGAAAAACGTTTTTAAATATTATAATATGGATATCTTTACTCGATAGGTCACAGGTTGATAAAAATTTTTTAACTTCTCAGCAGCTGAGACAAAGAGTTAATTTCACGCTCCTATATATCAATCAAAACACATTTAAAACTACATTGTGAACCGGTGGTAATTTTTAAAATTTTATTAAGGTCATGCGAACGCGATTTACGACAAGACAAACTGATATTATTATTCCACATATAAGTGCTTGCTGGTTAAAAAAGGGACATGTGATACTTCAAAATCGGAATTTCACGTTAAATAAATCTCTGAGCGCCTCTTTAACCCTTTTAAATTATTTTTCAAAAATAAAGCTTGTATTTTACCCATGGGCCCCTTTTCCTAATTTTAATCTTAACCTCTTTTCGAGTCCAAACCGAGTCGACAGTCTCTATATTACCGTCCTTGTCACCAAGTTAACCACTTAATATTAGAAGCTAACAGTAACAGTTGTCTCTAAGTATTGGCTTCCATATCATGCAGGTAGGCATTTGTGGTATGGGGATTTGTCCATACATGATTTATATCAGAGCGGTGAACTCTATATATCCCAGTTTATAATTGCAACTAAGAAGAAGGCATCAACAATCAGTAGGTAAGCATATACTGCCGTTATATTGTTGTCTCCTAGAGAGCATTCACATCGAGAAGAGCCGAGGCCTAGCAATGCCGAGACCTAAATATGGCGGACCTACATGAAAGGAAAACCGCGTTATCCTGTAAGTGTCTCTCCGCCTCTCACAGACCTCGGCTCTTCTCGATGTTAATGCTCTCCTACTGAACCTCACTTCTAGTGTCCGCAGCCAGTTGAGAGGGGGAGGCTCGGGTGGAGGGGGGGGGGGTGGGGGTGGGCCGGGGAATCCCCACTCTGAATCAAAATATGATCTCTAGAGGCCCTAAGTCATGTCTCAATTTAGGCCAAGTCAACTGGGTAAAAGTCAAGGTTAACGTGTTTTTAAGGCAAAACATGATGTCCCTTTGAAATTACTGACTACAGGCCTCACAAAAATAGTCTATACCTGTACCCTAGAAGTACAGGACTCGAGGACATTGAATTTTACTAAGATGACATACATATATCAGTATTATACATGTACATATATACAATAAATGCACAACATTAGCAGAAGAGTAAAACGCCTATCTAAATAAGTTGGAAATATTGCCCTAGCTTGGTGATGGAACTTAATAATCCTATTTTACGGAGATGTTTTAAAATATGTTTGATGTAGGTTTGTAAGTTGTAGATCGCAACCCATATAAAACTAAAACTATCAATATAAAGACATATGCGATGTATCTTTTAAACTTCGCCTTATCTGATATGCATGTATAACTTCCTTCACAGAGAGATAATCAAGTTGGGTATCTATCAGGTTTTGACTTTTTCCAGGTAAACAAAATGAATGATTTAAATGTGTTTCAATATGATTACGCGTGCGATTGACGTGAATAAGAAATATATATACCACTATCATTCATCTCTCTCATAACAGAGGGCAACAATCTATGGAGGTTAATTATTCTAATGGCAAGCACAGATTCCAGAATAATAGCAATAACCGCCGTTTTGATGGTAAAATAGAAATTATTATAATTCTCTGAGTCTCAGTTGTACACAATGCATTTAGTGTAAAATATATGGATCTTATACGAAGATGTGTTATCTCTTTAACATAGGAGTCTCCTGGAGCTGCTTCCAAAATGTGACCCTGCTACTGCCAATTTCTTTTCAGGTCAGCAATAATCTTGTAACCCTGAATGATGGGTCTGAAAACCCTACGATATTGCGTGATACTTGCAATGTTGGGTGGATGTGTCCTGCTGATGAGACTGAGCTATTTGTTATCACTGTTGAACTCGTGAGTGCCTTATTAATCAAGTTATGTAGTACTCAGCGAGCAGCAATAATACAAATTTGATGGTTATTGCAACAAGAAAATAGCCCCCAACCCTAGACATTTTTTAAAAATTACTCCTATCTATTTACAAAAATAAGAATTGCATTAAAGTGACATAAATAAATATCATCAGTTGTATTTGTGTAACACCATATGTCCTGCTAGAGTTCCAGCGTTTCTCTAACAGCAATGTCGGAACATAATCAAACAGTAATCCCCATACATATTGCCCTCTCATATATTCGTGCCGGCGGAGCTGGAGACGTGACCATTCCTTGTTAAGACAGGACTATTCATTGCTGACAGACTTGGTTCGTGAATGGCAATTTGGCGCCTAAATCCGACATCGTATTATTTTTAGTTATTTTACTCAGTGTTTAACAAATGAATAATTTCGAGCCAAAACAGATTAATTTAAAAAATCATATAAAAGTTCCTATCATCTGCACTTGCAAAAATGCTTATCTTGTTTCAGGCGCAATGTTCCACCTCATAGGGCATCGGGACTGGCCGTAAACCCGGTTCTGGGGATTCAGAGGTTTCCTGAAGGTTTTGGGAAAAGGCAAAACGAAGAAAAAGAAAAAGCTTTGAATCAGCGTACAACAAAGACAACTACCATGGCATTTACTAAGTTAACCAGTAGCACTGACATGACAACCACGACGCCTGCAACCATGGAAACCAGAAAACAAGCTATGACAACCAGGACTGTATCTTACAACCAGTCGCCTGTTGTTCATGCCGATCTGAAACGAAAACTGACCACGCCAGGAACTAACCAGATTTATGACCGCCCGTGCACTGGAAATAAAGTATATAAAGGACCCTGCACCTGTGTCAGATTCCCCGACCATGACTTGCCTGGTTCGGTGTTGTACAGTCTGGCAGGATCTGGTAATACGTGGACGCGGTTTTTGTTGGAACAGGTATCAGGTGAGACAATCTGAACTGTGCTTTTAATTCAATACATTCAAATAGTAAAGACCCGTTATTAATTTATTTATTTGTGCTGAATAATGGTCACCAGCATTGTTTTCAAATAAACTGCATCACTGAAATCAAGAATTTACTTTTCGTTATATATCCCATTTTACCTTGGAGGATATTTCACTGGAAGCATGAACTACGACCCTGATCTTAAAAAAGGAGGTTTTCGAGGTGAATATAGACAAGACAGCAAGGTATTTGCCATTAAAACCCACTCAGGTGTAAATGAAACGCTTAAGAAATGCCAGAAAGCCAGAGATACGCCCATTGCAAGAGCTGTTGTCCTCATACGGGATACATTCAACGCCTCCATGAGCGAGTTGATGAGGAGGATAACGCACGGCTCACACACTGACACGGGAAGTGAACTCTCGATAACAGGCAAGTTTCTAGAACTTTTCTGCTTTAGGAATGTTATGAACTCACGATAGGTACACTGTATCTGTAATATTAGTAGATTTGGATAATTTCCATGGTCTCTCTCTCTCTCTCTCTCTCAACAAATATTTCATAATAACGCATTCCGGTACTTTATGAAACATGAGTGTTTGAACATAAAACTGGACTGCTTTTGAAATTGGTGCGCAATCACTCATGTATTTTTTGCGTTTTATCTTCAACAGCCGTTAAAATGATGATGGTCAATGCGGAGAGCCAATGTGTAGGCCTACAAGTTTTATGTGCTCTTTTTTAATTTTACATGTAGCTGTTAAGCTAAAAAGGGTTCAAGACGTTGGGGAAAAAACGCACATTGGAATGGATTGAAACCAAGACATAATTTATACCACGAGAGTGATGTCGGTGCAGAAAGAAAAAATTGTTTAAATGATTCTTTCATGTTATATTTAGTTGTTAGACTATATCTCCGAGGGTTCCGAGATGCTGGGAGCAAGCGTACATTGGAATGGATTAGTCAATCTAAACTACCAATATTTGTGCTACGGTGAGCGGTAGATATACAATACTAGAACTTTCACCACGAGAATCATCATCAAAGCTGAAAAAATTACGTACAGTTTTTAATATTACTTTTAATCTTATCTTTAAATAAATTGGAAAATTTATGGATGTTCTGATCATTAACATTGTTATTCTAAGCATGTTTTGTTTATGTTTCTGAAAAAAAGAGAGTATAAAAAGATATGCTAAAATAATCTAAAATGGTATGCCACAGAATAAATATGGCAACAATAAAGTGTACAACATAAACATATGACTCATACTTTTACGGATTTGCAAATAAGAAATTTATTCTTGAAATGATGTTAATTATCTTCATTTAATAGCTTAACTTTTATTATCTTATTATTTCAGTTATGACGCACTTACAAACAACCTAGTCGAGGCTTTAAAGTCGGTAATGGCCTTTTTACAAATGCCTGTGATCGAAGGACGATTAGAATGCATCAAAAGGCACTCTGAGGGAAAGTTTCATCGAGGTAATAGAACGACGCCACGTTCATCCATTGTTAAAATGATTAGAAGCGTGTCGGAGCCTGCCGATAAACTTGTCGAAGACACTTTGAAGCTAAGATACAAATCTTTTCCTAATCTAACCTGTGGATATCTACACAATAGTCATAGCACGGTCAAAGGAAGTGCATGTAACTTTTAACATTGATTTCGTTTATGGTATCATTCTGCATTGTATACCACCTTTGACCGTGCTGCAATTGAAATTTTGAACAATGACTTTTGTTTTAGGTCAACTAACTGAAATCCAATATACAGCATACCTGTTGGAATATTCATTTGTTGCACGAGTGTATCTATATGTAGATAGCAACTTTGTTGTTGCCATTCTCTTCACCACCGTAGACAGGGGAAGAGCAGCCGTTTCAGCTAAAGATTTACACATAGTAAAGATCCACACATTTTTTTTTGTTAAAAAAAAAATAAAAAGAAAAAAACTCTGGTGTGTGGCGTTTTATAATAAAACCCTTAAAGGTGTATAATCGTTGTCCATCTTGAAAACTACATGTAAGTCATTTATTATTTGAAACAGTCAGTATGGGTCGTGCTGCAACTGCTATGCAAACATACCCCAGTAATAGACTCGCGTGACAAGGTTATTTTTTAGTTGCACCCCAGCTTATGCATGCTCACTCCGCAGGGTGTCACCTATGGAGGTCGGGCAGCACAGCACAGGGGCGAAGGTTACAGGTACCGGTACTTCCAAACATTTTTTCTTAAATGTGATTATTTGTCACTCTATTCACTAATTTGATATTTACGGCAATGGTAAATAAACATTGTGTTTGTGGCAATATTCTTTGGCTCGTCTCGGACAACAAATGACAAGTTAATAGTGACCTCACACTATTGAATCTACGTCACACTTAAGTCATGACGCAATTAACGTAAAGTGTCACAGACAGAACTTTCTAATCAGCAAAAACCTCATTAAGCATAGCAACTAAACACGACAGTCTCACAGATTGAAACATATTTCTCAGAATTATGTATCAAGCAATCGTTATCTTCATTTGAAAAAAAAAGGACAAAGCTAATATGTTCATGCAATGCAAATGTAAACAAGTTTTTATATGTCTTTTTAAGCGGAAATTTTAAAATATTTGACCAGATACCAAAGCTTATTGTATGTTGTTAGCCTTCGGTTTCTACAAAACGGTTCAGGATTTAAGAGAGTTAATTCAGTAATAAATTACTGTCGTTCATAAAAATTAAAATATAGTCGTGTAAAATAACATTTGGAGTAGGTGACCTGCGCTGCGACTAAATATTATTATTCCATATGTAAATATTTGCTGGTTTGAAATGAAAAGACGTGTGACGTCCTTGTCTCCAACTCTTTGAAGTTTATTGTTGTCTTTTAATATTGCCTTCCATGTGACGCAGGAAGGCTTACGCAGTGTGCGGTATCTCGTGCAATGTAGGTTATGTCGATTAATGATTAATGGAAGCTCTATATATCAAGGATTATATCTGTCTCTAAGAAAAAGACATAAAAATCTGCAGGTAAGTATATACTGTAGTTATATTATTGTCTCCTACTATACCTTACTGCTAGCGTCAGAGGCCAGGAGGGTGGCCGGGAAATGCCCAATATGAATCAAAATTTGAACTAAGCTCTCAGTCACATTTTGCAGAAGCTTTACTGTACTGCACTGCACTGTTCAACACATACAAGAGAAGACCGACATACTTAACGTCTTCAGTCAGCAAGTTGGGCTTAGGATTAGCAAAAAATAAAGACTGAAATGATGACATGAAATACACAATCACCACCAGCAGTTGAAGTAGAAGGCTACACCCTTAATAACACCAGCTGCCTTACATACTTAGAAAGCATTGTAGCCACAGAGGAATCGGAGCTGTCAACAACAAACTAACCAAAGACAGAAATGCCTTTAATAATTTACACAAAACCTGAAAATGATCTCAATATAGCATAAAAACCAAACTCTGTATAATTGACAGCTGTGTACCATCAACTCTTCTGTTATGGTTCAAAATGCTGGCGCATAACTATATATATATATATATATATATATATATATATATATATATATATATATATATATATATATATATATATATATATATATCAGGAAGCTATCTACCTTAATTTCACACCTCAAGCCTCAGAAAAATCTTTAAAATATTCTGGCCAAGGACTTTATCAATTGCTGATCATTTAAAAGAAACCAACCAGAGAAACAGTGAAGTCACCAAGACAAGAAGATGGCAGGATTGGCCATGTGATGAGAAAAGACCCAAATTCCACCACAAAAGTAGCATGTACTGGACACCAGAGGCAGACCTAAGACCACATAATGAGGACTGTCGAAGCAGAGTTAAAACAACTGGGAGAAAGTTTGGGTAAACCAAACACCTGGCTATAAGAGACGGGGAACAGTGGAGGACCTTTGTTGTTACCCCAGACGCCCGATGGCGTAAAAAGATATAGTTGATAGTTTAAATCTGATAAGCATGTAAAACTTCGTCCCAGATTTGGGTATTTATGGAGTTTTGTCTTTTTTCCAGGTAAACCAATGATTTAAATGTGTTTTTATATGATTAGACGTGTATATTACATGAATAAGAAATATACACACATATCGTTTATCCTTCTTAAGGGATTTTTACAGAGTAGCCATCAACTGTATGAGGGTCACCTGGCCCGATGGGAAGCACAAATTCCAAAATAATTGTGACCCTCCAAGTACATGTACCAACTTCTTTTCAGGTCACCACTTATCCTGTAGCCCTGAATGATGGATCTGCAAACCTTCCGATATTGTCTGATACCGGTAATGTTGTGTAATTGTATTCTGCTGATGGGCTATTTGTTATCACTGAAGAACACGTGAGTACCGTATTGATCAAGTTGTGTTGTACTCAGCGCACAGGAAAAATACAAAATTGACTGTTATTACAAATGGAAAACGGTCCTCAACCCTTGACATCTTTTAAAGTATATGCTTATCTTGTTACAAAACTGAGGATGGCATCATAGTGATATTAATAGATACCATCACTTGTCTTAATATAACACTATTTTTCCTGCTATGGCTTGTGTGCTCCCCTAACAGCAATGTACATTATCAGGCAGTACATGTTACCGTCCATATCGTCATAGTTGGAGCCGTGACCATTCCTTGTTAAGACAGGGTTATATTCATCACTAACCAACTTGGTCTGTGAATGACAATTTCGACATTGTATCTTTCTCGTTGTTTTAGTCATGATTGGACGAATCTTGAATAATCTTGCACCAATTAAAATAGATTAAATTTTTAAAAATAATTTTCATATGTAAGAGTTTCCAGCCTCTGCAGTTGCAAAAATGCTTATCTTGCTTCAGGCGCAATATTACACCGCAGAGGGCATCGAGGCTGGATGTAAAGCCGGTTCTGGGGGTTCGGAGGTTTCCAGATACAGAGGCTGAAGGTATTGGAAAAAGAAAAAACGAAGTTAAAGAAACATATTTGAATAAGCTTAAAACAAAAACAACTACCAAAAAAGCACCACCCATCTCATTCGCGAAATTGACTCGTAGCACAGCGCCAGATATGACGACCATGACGCCTGCAACCATGGAAACCAGAAAGAGAGCCATGGCAACTAAGGCTGTACCTAACAAGCAGTCTGCAGTCGTTCATGTTAATCTGTCACGAAAATTGCCCACGCCAGGAACTAGCCAGATTGATGAGAGCCCGTGCACTGGAAATAAAGTATATAAAGGACCCTGCAGCTGTGTTAGATTTCCCGACCATGACTTGCCTGGTTCAGTGTTGTACAGTCAACCAGGATCTGGTAATACGTGGACGCGGTTTTTGATGGAACAGGCATCAGGTGAGACAGTCTGTACTGTGTATTTGCTTTTTATTAAATACAAATAGTACAGATCCTTATTTGGTTTTATTTTCATTTTAATTATTTGTTTCATTTTATCTTTATTTATCTATAAATTCCAGAATTCACTTTGCGTGACTGGCTTATTCTTTAATCCAATTTCACCTTGTAGGATATTTCACTGGAAGCATCTACAACGACCCTGATCTTAAAAAAGGAGGTTTTCTAGGTGAATATAGACAAGACAGCAAGGTATTTGCCATTAAAACCCACGCAGGTGTAAATGAAACGCTTAAGAAATGCCAGAAAGCCAGAGATACGCCCATTGAAAGAGCTGTTTTCCTCATACGGGATACATTCAACGCCTCCATGAGCGAGTTGATGAGGAGGATAACGCACGGCTCACACACTGAGGTGGGTGAGCTTTCGGTAAAAGGCAAGTGCCGGTAACTAGCCCTTCTCTGCTTTACAAATGTTATGAACTCAAGATAGATACTGTAATATAGGTGGATTTAGATAATTTCCCAGATCTCTCTCTCTCTCTCTCGCAACAAAAATTTCTTGATAATATATTACACTCCTTTATGAAACGTTATCGTTTGAACAAAAAACAAGACTGCATTTAAAGTTGGTACGCAATCACTCAAGTATTAATCTGCATATCGCTTCCCACAAAACAAATGTTAACAAGCTTCAAGTGATCTTTTTATGTTACATTTAGTTGTTAAACTATATCTCCGAGGGTTCCGAGATGTTGGGAGAAAGCGCATTATGGAATGGATTAGTAAACCTAAACTAGCAATATTTGTTCTACGGTGAGCAGCAGATATACGATACTAGAACTTACACCAGGATAATGTTCGTCAAAGAATAACAAATATGTACAATTTTTAATGTTTATAAAACTATTACTTATAAATTAATTGAAAAAAATTGACTGTTGAAATCATTATCTCTTTAATTCCAAGCATATATTCGTTTTCTGAAAAGAGGAAAGAAATTAGGACGGTCTAACTAATTCGGTATGTTATAGAGCAGATATGACAGTAATTTATTTTTGCATGCAACACTTGTACAACATAAACATAAAACTCGTTCTTTCACAATTCTGCATATACGCAAAATATTCTTGAATTACATGTATATCATCTTCAATTTTTACCTTAATTTTGATTATATGATTATTTCAGTTATGACGCACTTAAAACCAACCTAGTCGAGGCTTTAAGGTCGGTAATGGCCTTTTTACAGTTGCCTGTGAGCGAAAAACGATTAGAATGCATCAAAAGGCACTCCGAAGGAAAGTTTCATCGACAAAATAGAACGACGCCGCGTTCATCCATTGCTAAAATGATTAAAGGCGTGTCGGAGCTTGCCGATAAACTTATTGAAGACACTCTGAAGCTAAGATACAAATCTTTTCCTAATCTAACCTGTGGATATGTACACAATAGTTATAGAACGGTCAAAGGAAATGCATGTAACTTTAAAAAATAAGTTTGTTCATGGTATTTTTCTGCATTGTATACTACCTTAAACCGTGGCGCAATTTGAATTTTTTAAAAATGTTTTATCTTAGCTTGAAGTTATTGGAACCCTAGATAAGACATTCTTGTTGGGAAATTCATTTGTTGCACGAGTGTATACATAGCAGCTTTGGTGACTCAATTTCAACCTTAAAATACTGTATATTTGCGGTGAATTTTTTTTCTTGTGTTTTGTGTACCAGGGTAGAATTTTGTCTGGCTGAGAGACTTAAAATGAGTTGTTGCCCACACTGATTTCTTTTCAAAGAGAATTTGGGGCGGGTTGCTTTTGTAATAAAACCATTCAAGGTGAATAATTGTAGTCTATCTTGGAAACTACATGTACATGAACATGTCCTTTATGATTTGAAACAGCCGGCGTAAGTCATGCTGTAAATGCTGTACAGAAATAATTTTACATCTTCGGCACGTCGTGAACAACACAGAACATTTAATTTGTAACGTTGCGCTATTAAATCTAAGACCGCATTCACAACGAGTTGAGCCATGGCTCTACAAATCCACGAACTAAATATGGCTCAACTCGTTGTGAATGCAGTCTACGTCATGCTTAGGACATGACACAGATAATGTTAAACATTACAATTAGAACTGTCCAATCATCAAAGACCGCACTACGACGTAGCAACTCGGTCGATTACACGACAGTCGCGTAGATTGAAACTTATTTCTTATAATTGTATTTAACTATTTATAATTATTTTTATTTGAAGAAAGGACATTGCCAAGACGCTGACACAATGCAAATGTAAGCAAGTTTTCATATGTCTTTTTGCACAATGTATTTTAAAATATTTGATCAAATGCCGATGCTATTTGTATGCTTTTAGCCTACAGTTTGTACAAAACGGTTCAGGACTAAGAAGAGTTGTAGATTGATGTCGTTCATAACAAATCTTGCAAGACAAATACCCTTGTTTTGATTTCACTTTTTACAAATTACAGGGTCGTGTACCTCCCAGGAGGGACATGAACCGGCCTGTGTTAAGTCGGTGGTGGGCGTGGCTCAACGCTATTCACGTAACCTGGCTGCTCTGTAGAGGTGAAGACAGCGTCCAGGTGGAAGACCAGAGAGGTATGGAAGTTTTTTAGATAGATATCGTGGCAAACAATACCATTATCTTGCTAACAATGATCTACATGTATTTCTGAATGGGAGCAATCAAGGTGAAAATGTTACATCAACCGTTACATGCACAGAAGAGACGTTGCAATATGTTTAATTACTCCAGGTGAAATCTTCATCCAATCTAAACGCCCGGTTTACATTGATCTCATCGTTATACATTGATCTCATCAAAATTCCCAGGAAAGCTGAGGAAAGCAGGGAAATTGATTCGATCAAACAGAGACGATCGCCACAGTGCCAAATGGTGTGGATAGTATTGTGCGTGCAGCCACCAAAAATCAAAACAATGGTATGGAAGTATTTGTAAATGTTTCTTTTGTTGGATTTGTTTATTGTATGTTTTACAGTATATTCAAATAAACCAATTGTGTTTTGTCGGTGTTAATAACTCTCAAGTTTGTGCATATAACCACTGTTGAATTAAAACATCTGTACCAAGTATAGATATTTATGGAAATTCTTTCAAAAAAATTAAAAAGTTTAACAGTTTTCTGCCACCTTTAGCATCATACGATGTCGAGCCTGAAGCAAGGGTGTCGCCTTGGAAAAGATTCAAAAAAGGAGGTGACTCGGATTTTCTCGCTGAAGAGAAGACGGTTCAAGTACAGGGTAGATACAGCTCCAGCACCACCGACACCTACATTGGCACCAGTATTGACACCACTGCCACGGGAAGGTACAGTTGAAGTTTTAAAATATAAGTCCTGAAGCACGGCTCGTACCATGTGTGACGTGAAGATTTTTAGCGCATGCTATTTGGAAACACAGCAGTTAATTCTATATATTCATGATTTTTTATCAATATTTTAACTTTGTAAAGTTGATATATGCCTCATCGTAAAAATCCTCTTTCTGTCGCTCATACATCAAACAGCATGAGGTTCGGAAGAAAACGAAAAGCAGGTGCCGACTTTAGGTCTTCTGTATCACACGTGGGTTTAATGTATTATCGTTTTTCTATTCAAATTTTGTTCGGATATTTCTCAAAATATTTAAACCCATTATAAATGATTTTGTAGAATTTGAGGTGGTAACGTTCACAGACATTGTACAGTTTACACTGGAAGAAGAAGACGGGACACGTATAGAGGACCTAGAGACGGAGATTTGTGGTGACGGATTTATTTTTCTCCAATTTTAAAACCAGTCCTTCATTTAGTTTCTCGATAAATTCGGTTTTGAATACTAGCGAATAGTAAATGTATGCTTTTTTAAATCACCATATATTAAGTACAATATTGAGTAAAATATTGAGTATTTAGTAAAATATATTTAAAATGAGACATACGGTATATCAATATAAAATTATGAACAAATACAATAGAATAAAATTTTGTTATTTTTGTTTTACAGATCATAATGAAATTCATTTGGAAGCCCCGAGGGCGTCCTCAAATTCTCACATCCATCTGGACTCACGGGCGGATTGGGTCTCTAAATCTGCCGTGCTAAACTGACTTACAAATTATCTGCACGCAGACCTTGACTCAGTGTAAATACATTGTACATCGACAGGTACTGCAGATATCATAATTACTGTTTGAATTACATCATACATGATGTTTGATACACTACCAAGTCAATTATATTGATTTTTACCAGCCATGTCTTTATCTAGGATATTAAGAAATTGAGAAGAACTGTACCTAGTTTTTATGTACACTGAGGTAGCAATTGTTGAGAATGACAGTTGTCGTTGGCTTCAGTGCGATCAGTGTCGCGTTGATATCACATTCTCTATCTTGCAAGAGCGATACATGTAGCTGCCGTTCTATATGTATTATAGTCTTAACATACTTGTATATATGAAATTTTTCTAGAAAACAACACATTAAAATTATATATATTTCCACGTTTGTTTGTTATAAATTTATTTTCTAGCAGACATCCAGTAGCTTTAGCAGCTGTATACATAATAAAAGAATAATTTGTGCCCAATATGTTATGGGTGTAAAATGTAAGAAAAACGTTTTGAAATATAATAATATGGATAACCTTACTTGCTTTGTCACAGGTTGATAAAAAATTTAAAAACTCTTCAGCAGGTAAGACAAACATTAATTTTCACGCTCGAAT